TACCTCATCCTCCACAATGAGACGCAAGGGAGCTCCATCTCAGCACAGCAGACAGGCGCCTCCCATGTCACGAGAACTCAAAGGTCTCGGTTTACCCGTCGGTCGGCAGAAAAGAGAACTCTTTTCTCTTTTGATCAGGGGATTGGATCCTGGCATTTCCTTGACCTTTTCAACAGATGAAAAAGAGCATACGCGCAAGAAGAAACCTCCTTTCTCTCTTGGCTAGGGAAAGAGATCCTGATTATTTCTTTTACTTTTTCAAAAGATGGAAAAAGGGCATACGCTCCCGAAGACAGGGTGGAGATTCCCACAACCCTCGAGAGAGCCCCTCCAAGTCATTCAGCTGATTTCTAGCAGAGAGCTCCTCTATCTCTTGGTAAATCTCCAAAGAAATCTTTTCTTGCCAAGGATAACTTGGAATGAGAGACCTCTGTCCTCACTTCTTGAGAGCTATCTCTCTTCTATCCCTTGGAGAGGAAGTGGTGGCGACAAGGAGCTCCTGTCTCTTATTGTCGACCAAAACGCAGCCGGGGTTCTCTTACTTCTCGTAAAGTTCGACGGGTTTCTTTTTTGATTCAGAGGATGGGGTAGAGGGCTGCGCATGTCTTGTTGAAGGTTGACGGGAGGATCAGATTCTTCTTTTGAAGATTGAGAGAGCCCTGTCCGACAGAGCTCCCTTAGCTTCCAAAAAGAAAAGTCTTCTAGCTCATCCTCCACAAGAAATGGCTGAGAGCTTCCTCCCATGTAATGAGACGCAAGAGAGCTGCATCTCAGCACAGCAGACAGGCGCCTCCAACTTCACGAGAACTCAAAGGTCTCGGTTTACCCATCGGTCGGCAGAAGAGAGAAGACTTTTCTCTTTTGATCAGGGGATTGGATCCTGGTATTTCCTTGACCTTTTCAACAGATGAAAAAGAGCATACGCGCAAGAAGAAACCTCCTTTCTCTCTTGGCTAGGGAAAGAGATCCTGATTATTTCCTTTAGTTTTTCAAAAGATGGAAAAGGGCATACGCTCCCGAAGAAAGGGTGGAGATTCCCACAAACTTCGAGAGAGCCCCTCCAAGTCATTCAGCTGATTTCTAGCAGAGAGCTCCTATATCTCTTGGGAAATCTCCATCTACTCTGAAGAGAATTGAAGGGAGCTCGCTTATAGTCGAAGAAGACAAGGCTCAAAGCTCCTCCAGTTTCAAGAAGACGAACGAGAGACAAGAGAGCTCCTTTACCTAGTCACCGACAATGAGCTTCATTTCCCTCTATGTGTAGGGAAGAGCTCCCTGGCAAGTCCTCTACCGCAGCATCTCAAAGGAGCAGAGAAACATTCCAACTTCACGAGAAATAAAAGAACTCCGGCTGCGTCTTGGTCGACAATAATCCAATAAGAGAGAGGAGCTCCTTGTCGTCCCATCTTCATTGGCAAGGGATAGAAGAGAGATAGCCTATCAAGAAAAAAAAACTCTCTGCCAGAAGGATGCTCTCTTATGTTGCCACGAATAGCCTGGGGACTCTCTTCTTGTTTTGGAGCATGAGGTCTTTTGAAAGCTGAGGGACGACTAGATGTCTGTAGTTAGATATTGGGGGGAGTTCCACCCTTTCTTCTTGAGCGTATGCTCTCTTCCATCTTTAAAAAGGTAACGGCAATAATCAGGATCCCCTCCTCGTTTCGAGAAAGAAAGGAGGCCTCTTCTTGCTGACCGAGAGGTAAACCAGGTAAACAGAGCCCTCTTCTTTCTCGTGAAGTTGGAGGGGCCTGTTAGCTTTGTTGAGATGGCGCTTTCTTCTGTCCCATTTGATTGGAGGGAGCTCTCAGTCTCTTCTTGTCGAGGATGAGGCAGAGGACCTTTCTTTTTGGAAGTTAATTCACAGGATGAGGTAGAGGGCTGCTCATGTCGTGTTGAAGGCTGAGGGGAGGACCAGACTCTTCTTTTGAAGATTGAGAGAGCTCTGTCCTCTTTTTGAGCTATCTCTCTTCTATCCCTTGAGGAGGAAGAGGGGATTCTCTTCCATCTTTAAAAAGGTAACGGCAATAATCAAGATCCCTTCCCCTTATCAAGAAAGAAAGGAGGCCTCTTCTTGCCGACCGAGAGGTAAACGGAGCCCTCTTCTTTCTCGTGAAGTTGGAGGGGCCTGTTTGCTTTGTTGAGATGGCGCTTTCTTCTGTCCCATATGATTGGAGGAAGCTCTCAGTCTCTTCTTGTCGAGGATGAGGCAGCGGACTTTTCTTCTTGGAAGCCAGTTCACAAGATGAGGTAGAGGGTTGCTCATGTCGTGTTGAAGCCTGAGGGGAAGATCAGACGGTTTTGAAGATTGAAAGAGGCCTGTCCTCACTCTTTGAGAGCTATCTCTCTTCTATCCCTTGACAAGGAAGTTGGGACGACAAGGAGCTCCTCTCTCTTATTGTCGACCAAGACGCAGCCGGAGTTCTTTTATTTCTCGTGAAGATTGAAACTGCATCCAAAGGGTCTGCCTCGACGCAGTGAGACACGAGAAGTTGGAAGGGTTCTTTGCTCCTTTGAAATGCTGCGGCGGAGGACTTGCCAGGGATCTCTTCCCTGCACATATAGGGAAAAGAAGCTCATTTCTTGCCGATGACGAAGAAGCGAGCTCCCATCATTTCTCTTCAGAGGATATGGAGACTTTCCAAGAGGTAGAGGAGCTCTCTGCTCGAAATCAGCTGAATGACTTGGAGGGACTCTCTCCGTGTTTTCGTTGAATGTTGGGGGAATCTCCACCCTTTCTTCTTGAGCATATGCCCCTGTCCACCTTTTGAATAGGTCAAGGAAAGTTTCAGGATCTCTGTCCCTTGCCAAGGGAGAAAGGAGGTTTCTTCTTCTTGCGCCTATGCTCTTTTCCATCTTTTGAAGAGGTAAAAGGGGAAAAAAGGATCCAATCCCCTGATAAAGAGAGAAAGGAGTTCTCTTCTTGCCGACCGATGGGTAAACGGAGACCTTTGAATTCTCGTGAACTTGCAGGGGCCTGTTTGGTTGCTCTTGCCGTTTTCTTCGTGAGAGCTGATTTATTCCAGGCCTTGTTCCGAGACAAGAAAGGAAGCTGTATTTGCGTTGTTGGGGACTTGTTGCTGCTCACCGCTTGGTTCGCGATTGCCCATCTATGCGGAGTCTTGTTACAAGAAGAGAAGCGGTATTGTGTTCCTATATACTTATGCGCGATTGCTGACTTGGCATTACGCTGTCAGTTGCTTGTCTATGTTAACTTGCTGTCCGACTTAGGTCTTGTTGTAACACAAACCTGATATTAACAGACTGTTGCTCCAATACGTACTCTAGCTCGCTGGTATCAGCTAGCCGGCCTTCGTGGGACTACAACAAAACCCGAATGCCAGCTTCCAAATAGACCCTATTTAAGCCACCCCCCCCCCCCGCCCCTGTATGGGTCTGGGGGGGGACCACCCAAGGCCTTGGGGTGCATGGAGAGGGAGAACCCACCCCAAACCAAATCATGAATTCTTTTGACACCTTCGCACCAAAAGGAATGAAAGGACTTGACAAATTCTGAACACTGAAACGGTTGAGGACTCCCACCACTACACGGACATGTTGTCAGGCAAACCCAAACAAACTACAGGAAGATGTTGGACAAAAACAAATACAGAATCTGAAAAGTGACATGTTGGTTATAAAAAAAGTATGCATACATGTCAACTAAGATGGAATATCTAAGCCCAATAAGGTTTGTGATGATTCATAAACAAACTCAAAATCTGAAAGAAAAGATTTTCTGGCAAGCTCCAAGCTTTCTAATAAAGTTGTTGTTTAATCAGCTATTAACTCTGGAAGGAGATGTCGATTGGACATAAGACGTTGTTAGGGGAATTGTAAATCAGCAGAGATGGTGGGTTGGCAAGCCCAAATCCTCCCAAAAAGATGTAGGTTGTTCAACCTCCAGATCCTAGAAGGCGATGTTGGCTGGTAGATCCCCCAGTACCTAAAGCACAGGTTTGTCTATACAGCCGAAAGCTGTGTTTAGAATATGGGTTGGAAACCTTGAACCATACAAAGAAATGTTGGTTGATTGCCAGTTCCAACAAGGCGATGTAGCTGGCAGCCCCCACAATAACTTTACGGGTTGTAAAAGGGACAGCGATATAAACCGACATGTAGATTGACAACATCCATGCCATTGAACGAAAAGATACTGTTTGGCAAGTCTCAACCGACAAAACGTGGGTTGGTGAGTTGGCAATGTCAAGCCATAAGAGGGGATGTTGGTGGACCAATGCAAAATTGAAGCTCTCAAGTCATTGCAAGGAGTTTCAAAGCGTACCAACCTTGGACTACATGTGCACGCCAAATGCGGATGCAAGCAGTAGAACTTTCAAGCGGAGATAATGGCCAGTAAGATAATTTAAAAACACATTCCCAGTATGCAGATAAGATGACGAAGTCTAATACGAGATTCTTTTCGGCAAACTCCAAATCATGAATGAAGACCCAAACCCTGAAACAAGATCTCTCATGGCCTCTACTATGCGCTACAAGCCATGTATTCTCTTTGTACTAATGTAAGTACTGGAGAGACCCATTGTGGTGAAGCCAGAAATGCTTTCGTTTCGTGGGCCCAGAAACGCAGCATCATTTCTTGGACTCATCCTGCTTCTATATCCACTGGAGAACAGTGTCAGTTTGCAATATCATCAAGGTATCTCGAGGATCTTTTTAAGCCAATCGAGATCTAATGCTCACATGTCCACAAAAAGCATGAAAACGGCAGCGAGTTCCCAGCCCTGATGCGTGCTTGCAGCGTGTTGAAGTGCAGAGCGTCACAACTCACAACGACCATGCAATACGCTGTTTTGCTAGGAGCCAGCATAGTAAATCCAGTAGGCGATCCCGCCTGGCACATTTGGCGTATACTAAGCCATCCACGTCATTTCAGACCAGATGGCGGTAGCAGCTCCGTTCACAGTCTCGGCGCCTCAAAGTGAGGCCTGTGCTGACTGCGAAAGACTGCCCGAAAAGAAAAGCCCACACCCCCTCTGGAATCAATGAAGTAGCTGCCTTGCTAGCGAGCCCCCGCGCACCAACATCCAGCCACGCATGAGCAACATGAGTTCCACCAGCCTGCGCCAGTGCACAATATGTCCTTCGGCTGGAGGTGCAGCGAGAGGGCCGAGACGCCGAACACAAAGGCAGCCGCCTGTAGTCACAAGCACCAAACCTCCAAACGCCAGCGGATGCATGGTCCCATACTCCCACATGGAAGCCCAGAAGCGCCAGCTGGCTCGCAGCGGGCTCCCAAGAAGAGCCCCTAAGCGGCGCAGGAGCCCCACAATGGCAGGCCAGTGAGCTGAGGAGGGCGGGGGGGCCAAAATTTGGTCCCACGTGTGGTTGACCGCAGGCACGGTAGTAGCGAAGTCGCGAGCAAGGAGCAAAATCTGATCATACTCATCCTCCGCGTTCCAGCCGCCCACTTGCCACACAGGGTTGGCCCAGCGTGGTGAAAAAGTCATGCGAAGCATCCGGAACTCGAAAACCACGAGGCCGTTGGCGGCGAAGGAGACGACCCCAGTAGTCACCTGATGCCCACCAGCGCCTCGGTTTCGGCGGCCACCACCGGCAAGTGGAAAGTTTGCGAGCGTAACAACCCCAACCAGAAGGTCAAGGCTTCCTGAGCCGGGTCCCGCAGCACTTCGCGACCCTGCGTCGAGAAAAGCCAGAGCTCAATGGCCTCAGAGGTTTCACCCAAGACTCGCCCAACCACTTTAGTGGCGTTCATGCCGACGAGGTCCACACCAATCCAGGCGGCCTGCGCCACACTGAGCGTGTTAACCGAAGCCGCCTTAACCACGCTCGTAGAAGCCGAAACCAGCTGCGTGCCACCATCCAGAATGGACGAGAGCGCCCCAGCTGCGCTCTCACCAACCTGCGCCGTGGACACCAGTAGGCTTTGCACCGGCAACAAGAGTTCACGCATCGGCCCAGCCGCGATGACATAGGCCAAGCTGCCCCAAAGCACCATCATGCGAAGCCGAGCCGCCCCCTTGCAGCACGACTTCCAAATCCAGCCAAACCAGGATGCCTGCTTCCTTCGAAGCGCGCCCCGCCTAGGGGGATCACGCACTGCGCCGTCTGCAGCAGATCCCACCAAACCATCCGCGGGCAGGTGCGCGCGCCTTTCCGCAGTGAGAACTGTGGAGCCGTCGAGCTTGGAACGCCGACCCCCCGGGCGGGACTGAAGAGCTCGAGGAGGCGGGGTCATGGCCCGCTGGCGCGGCTGAGATCTCACAGGACGCGAAGGAGCGGGCGGCTGGTACTCCGAGGACTCCTCCTCCGAGGCGTCTTCGATCGCCACGGTAACCGGCAGGCCCATGGGCTGCCGCTGCAAAGCACCCCTTTGGGAAGCAGCCCAGCAGGTTGTGCGAGGCCGCGTTAATCTCAGAATCCAGTGCCCTGCTACGGAATTCAGCTTCGACCTGCAAAGCGGTGGCCACGTCGATGTACACAAGGAAACTCGCTTCCGATTTCCACCGACCGCGCCTCTGCACGAGGGTGGGAGCCTCGCCTTTGATGATAGCCTCTGTTGCGAAGCCGGCCCTGCAAGAGTGAGGCGAGTATTGCACCCCCAAGCATGAACTGTGTCGAGCGAGTACCTTCCTATAGTGATCATATCCACAGGCAGCCAGTGATCCCCGCTCGGGAGTGGCCCGCAGCAACCTAAACAACAACATGGCGAGCACTGGGTCCTGTTCCGGGTCAAAGAACGCGGTCTGCTCTCTCCCAACCTTGGTGCCCACGTTGGTACCAAGGCGAAGCACATAGCGAGGCACGAAGTCACTGGGTCGAATAATATCATGCTCGCACAGACCCAGCATCTCTGATGGACGAAGCCCTGTTGCTTGCTGCAGTAGCATACAAACTCCCAAACGATGCTCACGTGCAGTTGCCATCTTACTCGCAATGAACCTAGCCGAACGAGACAACATAGGGAAAGCATGCTTCGCAGGGTACTCGATCGCCAAACCTTTGGTGACCTTCTTCGCAAGGGGCAATTTTCCCTTTAAGCGCGGTGCCAAAAACTGGATGCCCGCCAGGGTGACCTCGAACTGTGATCTGGTCAAAGAGGCCTCCCGGCGGAACAAAATGAGCCACTCGTCAAGCTCAGCAGCTGAAGTAGGAGCCGCGTCGTTCTGAAGCAAGAAAACCTCAAACTTCTCAACCGCCCTTTCGTAGCGCTTGTAAGTGTCACTCAAGACGGAGTTCACATGAAGCGGGTCGAGCCTGTGCGGTCGGAAATGTTGCATACCCGAGCCCTCCCCCGGGCCCTTTCACGGATGCTACGCTTCCCGACGTCTTGAGGCCCGATCGGCCGGCATGAGCTGGCACCACGAGAAAATGAAGCGCAATCCACATGCAAGCCCAAGCGCAGCCCTTCGCCTCAGGTAAAAGTTTAGCCCCCATGACGAGGACCTTCCTTTGGTCATTGCGCTCGCACACGGACGGTTATCTTGCAAAGCAAAGTACACTTGATCATGCGCAGAAGGCCGTTGGCAAACCAGTTCCAAGCACTTTGTGACAGCCCTGGCTTCTCCTATGGTGATGTGATCGGCTGACCGCCATCGGCCCGCTTGCAACTCAGTCCACCTAAAATCTTCAAACAAAGACCGGGGCAATCTCGAAAACGGACGTGTAAGCTTGATCATGTCAGCCGGATTGCGAAAACCCTTCAGACCCCGGTCTCGTTCGGAGATGGCAAACCCCGGCTCTTCACCGGCCCACATCAGAGCCGCAAACTCCTCATAAGTAGCCTGAGCCACGCAAATCCCATAACCCCCACAATCCACATCATCAGCTCCCATGGCGTCCGTTGCGAACACCAATCTGCTCACTGGGTCCGAGGCTCGCAAAACCATGAACCTGGCCATAGCAATGAGCTCTCGCCTCACCGACGGCCAGAGACGCACAAACTGGCCTTCGCAAATGTCCAACATGTGGTATACCGAGAATGGGATGGAATACAGGTCCCGTCTAAGTTGTGCACCGAAACTCCAGATCCCGACCAGAGCCCTGAGCAATTCGACACACACGAAACGAGCGCTCGCCACTTCGAGGAAAGCGGCCTGAAGTAAGCGGGCCTTCTTATGGGGCAAAGAAAATTCGCCCTTCTGCGCATCAATCTCATAGCCTACCACTTTCGCGATCTCATCACCCGATCGCCGATCTGGCACTCGGAAACCTGCGGCCTCCATGTTGTCAGCAATCTCCTCCATCAAAGGGCCCGTCAGCCTAGCACATGCGCCCACTCCGAGAAGTATAGCGTATCGTCCACATGCAGGTAGAGGCCTAAATGATCATCCCCCAGCAGCACTCGAACATGATCCTCCACGGCTTCGTTCAAGATCCTGACTCCTATGCGATCAGCTGAGGCACTCACTGACCAAGGAGCCAAAGGCGCCCGGGGCCCCTTTGCAAAGAAGCCCGTCGGCCCTTCTCCGGAAGCCTGCCACGCTGTGCACGACTCGATCATACACTCCGCAACTAGCCGACACATACCTGGAGGATAAGTTTGCAGCCGTCTCGTGAGAAAGTGACCTTCACTGTCAAACCCCATCGAACGTTCATGCCGATGAGAAGAGCTTTCACCGGGACAAGCGCAGTGGACAAAACGATCGAGGCCCCGAGCATTACCAGCCAAAGTGGTCGGCTTTCGAGTGGGACCTCCAAGAGTGCATTGATCAAAAGACACCGACGCGGAACCCGTGCGCGCCAGCATCTCCCTGAACTCAGTCGTGGCAAAGATCGATGGATAAGGCTGACAGCCAGGGTCCTTCGGGTGCTCCCACAGAAAGCTTCCGCCATACAATGAGATGCGATCACACAAAGCCATGCTATGCTTGTACAGCACATTCGCCTCCTCGACCCTAGCACGCTCATGATGAAGAAGATCCGGCCTGCCCCAGAAACAATCACGAAAACGGACCGGCCTGACTCCCACACTGTTGTCGGCATGCCTGGCCCTGGAGACTGTAGAGCACGGCGGGCCCAACATGAGTAAATCCACGAAGCCTGACATCATGCCCAAAAGCTCGTGCTGAGTGTCTTCGCGAGCAAGGTCCCAACGATGATCAGTCGCCAGGTCTACGGTAGCAAAGAGCACTGTGAGCCCCGCTTCCTCCGCGAAGCGCTCGGCAAAATGCTGAACGTCGTTCAACCGCCGCTCCCCTCCGAACAGATGCATGATCACAAACACCCGGTGTGGGGCGAGGCGAGCCTTCCGGATGACAGCCCACCACTGCTCAACTGAAAAACCTGCTTCAGCACGGTATGAACCACGGGCTGCAAAGCGCTCCCACCACTCCGCGTCTGAGCAACCGAAGTGCATGTCGGGAGGCCTCTGCTCGATATCGTAGTTCTCCGCGACGAAGTGACCTGAAGCCGGAGTGCGAGAAAGAAGTTGGCTCGAAAACAAGGTCATGCCGATAATGCGCAAGTTAATGCTCATCAGGATGTGCACGGAGTGACTGCAACCCATGGGCAAACGCATGTAACACGGACATACCCAATCAGTGGCGGACAACCCTTCACGAAGACGCCGAGGCAAAAGCTCCCAGACCTCGCCCGCCGGAAGCGGTGGGACCGCCTGGTATGGGATCATCCACTCTGGGACCAGCACGCTTGTAAACGCATTCGACTGGTCACAAACTGCTGCCTTCAAGCCCGGCTTCTCGAGATGAGTTCGCGCGAGAGCGCCAGCCCCAGTCATCCCTAGTCTTGACCGAGCCTCCACATCCGACAGCAGGTAGTTGAAAGAACAACACATCACCAACTTGCGTTGAGTAACACCGTCTTTCTTAGGCACACACGAAAAGCCAGCAATTGCTTTGACTTCTGAAAAAGACCTCCATGACCACATGTTGCTGGGCAAATCGCTTCTGTGAAAATATTTGCAGTACTCGTCAAACGTGCCTCCGACAAAAGCAAACTGCTGCTCAATGTCATCTTGAAGCTGCCTAGCTTTACCAGCCATGTCAATGCAATTGCTCTCGCTGCTGTAAAAATCTGATTCGGAACGAGGGAGAGCCTCAAGCATGTCGACCACACGGTTTTCCGAGGGCTCGGCAATGAGCTTTGCTTGGAGAGGAATCTGATTCTGCTTCTTCTTGACCCTGGCATAAGAGTCATCAGCCACGGCACCCTTCACAATCTGTACCGCAGCCGAGTGGCCGCCTGTCCCAGAAACAAGAGGTTCCCGGCGGCGGCCCTCACGACAATCTTTAGCACGATCCCAAAGACGTCGCAGAACAGCCGCTTGCGCCGCGCTGATTGGGGACTGCGCGCGCGTTGCGGCAAAGTGCTTCTTAGGCTCCCGCAAAGTTGAACTGTACAAATCATTGAGAAAAGAAATCCACCTGAACACCAGCTTCCATAAGATTAGTCTCTCACGCCACCTCTTCCTCAGTCTGGGAGAAGACGACTGAGGCTGCGGCGGCATCGGGGGCAAAGGAAGAGGGAAAACACGACCATCACTGGAGCAAAGGTCTTGAATACAATCTGACATGCAATGATCCGGCAGAGCATCATGTGCACACCCTCGGTCGTTACTCTGCACCTCCCGAGGGCTGCTCTCCTGTCAGCCCTGCGTGGCTGCACCCTTCTTCTTGTCCCTCCCCTTGTTCTTGCCCTTGCCTCCGGCCTTGCCCGCGCCGCCAGTACCGCTCCCTTGAGCCGCTCCTGCGCCGCTCTGCGCCCTTGCGCGTTCCCGGCGCTTGTGCTCAGACTGGCTGTATGAGGCAGCTTCCGTGACGAGCCAGCTCGGGGCAACATCCGTCGAAAACGATGAAGGTTTGATCGCCAGCATGCTCTGCGCGGCGTCCCGGTCTCCTGTGCGCCGCTCATGGATCCATGCCGCCAGGCGCCTCAGAGCCACCTCGCAGGTATCATCTTGCGCAATAATGCTCAGGACCTTTGCCTGCGAGGGCCCCCCTTCCTTGGCCTTGAAATCGACCAGGGACGCAAGGTTGAACAGGTCCACATAGTGAGCCGACTGTCTTTGCTCGACACTGAACATGCTGTTCACCCAATCGCGAACACACCGCACGCCTGCAGCCTTCATGGAGGAGTAGATCTCGGGCCCTGCTCGCTTGAGATCGGGCAGCAAGGCCGCCTCCCAGCCTTCTGGACCCTCGTCTCCTTCTTCGATCCACGCGGCGCCGTCTTGAGCCCGGAAAGCGTCCAAAGAGTGCGCAACCGCGCCCGCAGTGGAGAGCTCATCCAATTTCTCCTTCAGCTCTCTGAAGCGCGGAGGTGAGCCAACTCCTCTGCCTAAGTAGCCTTGGGACAACAGCAAGACCTTCAAGCGCTGTTCCAATGGTTCCATCAGGCCAACTTCCTGCCAGAATGACTTGGCCCACACCGGTAGCATAGCTGACCGCCCATGCCAAAGAACAAGCGCTTCCTTGGTCTTCTTCGCTTGCTCCAACATGCGAACCTGGCCTTGCAGCGGAGCGTAAGCACCACTTCCGGCGGCCTGCGCCGCTTCCGCGCTTGCCCCAGCTGCCTCGAGCGAAGCAGGAATCTCTTCCCGCTCTCCCCGCAGCTGAAGCTGAAGCAGGTCTCTCACACTGGCTGGCTCCACGTCTGACAAAGAGACCAATTTGACATCTGATGGCAACACGCCCTTAACGTGTGCACCACCGCCAAGCTAATGGTGAGCATGCCATTCTCGCGCCGCGCAATGGTCCCGTAGCACAGGCTCAGCTCAGGCTTGCGTTCACAGGCCTTGAACTGGACAACTCCACCGACCGCAGGGACGATGCTGAGCTGACGCCCCTTCTCGGTTGCTCTCCAGCCCACACTTTGCGGCTCTCTTTTACGTCCCGTGAACGCAACTCCAGCACTCAGCTGGACATCATCGCCCCATCGGCGCCATGCCTCTTCAGCTGCCACGAGGCTCATAGCCCCTAAAACGCACCAGAGCAGCGACCGCCCACTAAGCTTCGACTTCCTTCAGTTGCACTAACTGAAACACGGCTGGCAGAAGGCCAGCTTCTAAAACTTTGGACTCTTGTTCTACACCTTCGGGTCGCCTAGAAAGGCACTTGCGCACTGCTGTTACCCCCTTCTCAAGCTCGGTGTCACTCCAGTCCACGGCAACTGGTGCTTCAAAAAACACGCTCCGCAGAGTGTGTCTCGTGCTTCCAGCCACCTTCATGGCAGCTGGCAAGACATGCCCCTATAACCAGGAAAAACATGCCTCGTAAGAAAACTTGGCCGCCGTACTTCAACGTCAAAACAAGCAAGCACAAGTCAACATTTGCCCTCTCTGTCTGCGACAAAACTCCTTGAAGCTGCTAAGAAAAATTCATGCTGATATTTTGGAACTGCACATTAAACTCCGTGCGCTCAGCTCACTCACCAATTTGACGTTTATTGGGATGCATCACTGCGACACGATCATCGAAGCTCCTGTCTAGGATTGCCAAGATCTATGGCTCTATGGAGTCAGCAGTTGAAGCCTTTTTCTAGCTCCAGCAAAGTGGACTTGGAGCCAGCTCCGGCTTAGAATTCTCTGCAGTAAAGAAAGAAGAAAGGCAGCCCACGTGTTCGTTCAGGTTCGAGGCTTCTGATGACCTCTTTAATACATCCGGGCCACAAACGTGTGGCTTTGAAGCCACAAAAGCCACAAACGTGTGGTTTTGAAGCCACATCAAGGCCACTAAACGTGTGGTTCTTCAAGCCACATCAACGTGTGGTTTTGAGGCCACATCATCTGAGCGGTCACAAGGTCCCGCTTTTTGCGAGAAGTTCCAACGTCCCACCGGGCCCATCCAAGTCCTTCTGCGTTGCCAAGTACCGGTTTTTGCTTGCCGGGTCTGGATGTCACCGAGTCCATGTTTGCCACAAGAAGTTTCATCTAGTTGTCAGATGGCCCATACTTTGCCAGCCAGATCGAATCCGGGTCCCACCGGGTCCCATCTGGGTCCCACCTGGGTCCACCCGGGTCGCATTTTTCTAGGGCCGGTCTACACCCCGTTTGCGTTTTAAAGTCTAAATGAACGGCGAGGCGGAACCCATGCACGGTTTTTGTGCATGCAGCTGCGTTTAACATTGTAGTTCAGGTCATGTCCCAAACGGTCTTCTCCAGTGAAAAAAACACAAAGCTCTTGCGAAGCTTGCACTGTTTCATGTTGATTTGATGTACTTCCATAAGAAAGCAAGACTTGGAAGCTTCAATCCTGAAAGCTTGTTTTTTCCAAGCTGGATGCGCGCTTGTGTGTCATAGTCGCCTTGTTGTGTGGCAGTAAGACGGACTTCAAAGTAGAAGAATTCGCGACCCCCTAAAGTGGAGCCGTTGGGCGGCTCCATTGTCAAGGTTCCAAGTCCAACTTATGCTCAAACTATATATTTAAAAAGGTCGAACGCAGCTCTGTTTTCAAGGCCTCGAAATGGCTCCATTTTTGGAGTCGCAAATCGCAAATGTTCGGAGCCAACCAGCTGACTGCCTGCCTTTGTTCCCGCAGTTTTTGAAAAGCCAGAAGTCTTGTCCAAAGCAGCTGCACGCTCACTTTAAATGACTTAAATGCCACAACCAGCGATTTGCAACTGGGAGGCCCATTGTGGCGAAGCCAGAATTGCTTTCGTTTCGTGGGCCCAGAAACGGGGTCGTGCAGCATCATTTCTTGGGCTCATCCTGCTTCTATATCCACTGGAGATCAGTGTCAGTTTGCAATGTCATCGAGGTATCTCGAGGATCTTTTTTAAGCCAATCGAGATCTTTGACGTTTATTAGGATGCATCGCTGCGACACGATCATCGAAGCTCCTGTCTAGGATTGCCAAGATCTATGGCTCTATGGAGTCAGCAATAGCCAATAGCTTGCAAGATCATCGAAGCTTGTTGAAGCCTTTTTCTAGCTCCAGCAAGTGGACTTGGAGCCAGCTCCGGCTTAGAATTCTCTGTAGTAAAGAAAGAAGAAAGGCAGCCCACGTGTTCGTTCAGGTCCGAGGCTTCTGGTGACCCCTTTAATACATCCGGGCCACAAACGTGTGGCTTTGAAGCCACATAAGCCACAAACGTGTGGTTTTGAAGCCACATCAAGGCCACTTAACGTGTGGTTCTCAAGCCACATCAACGTGTGGTTTTGAGGCCACATCATCTGAGCGGTCACAAGGTCCCGCTTTTTGCAAGGAGTCCCAACCGGGTCCCCCCGGGCCCATCCAAGTCCCACCTTCTGCGTCACCGAATCCCGTTTTTTTGCTCGCCGGGTCTTATCCGGGTGTCACCGGGTCCCATGTTTCCCACACAAGAAGTTTCATCTGGTTGTCACGTGTCCCATACTTTGCTAGCCAGATCGAATCCGGGCCCCACCGGGTCCCACCGGGTCCCATCTGGGTCCCACCTGGGTCCACCCGGGTCGCATTTTTCTAGGGCCGGGTCCCACACCCCGTTTAGGTTTTAAAAGTTTAAATGAACGGCGAGGCGGGACCCATGCACGGTTTTTGTGCATGGAGCTGCCTTTAGCATTGTAGTCCAGGTCATGTCCCAAACGGTGTCACTTCTTCAGTGAAAGCACAAAGCATGTTCTCGCGAAGCTCGCACTGCTTCAGCAGTTGAGGCACTCTCGTTTGCCGTGTGCTTTCCGAAGGTGGAGGAACGAGATAGAGAAGATTAGCATGGCCCCTGCCCAAGGATGACACGCACAAGCCGAGAAATCTACCAACGTGAAGCACAAGATAGCAGGGACAGCTGCAAGCTGCAGGAACTACAAGACCAGAAGAGTGCAGAGACTACGGTAAGATTGTAAGCTCCGAACCCACGAGGGAGGCTTTGGAAGGCTTCAGTTTCTGTCTCGAAACCCCACAAATGACGGTTCGAGAGGCTTTGCACTGTTGGTGAAAATCGCAAGCTTCGCGACTCCAAATGTAGGGCTGGAAAAGTCCAGCAATTCTGGGTTCGCTTGAGCGGGCCTCCCCTGTATACAAGAGTTGGCAAACCCCGAACATCTCAACGGCTGGCAACAATAGTGCCACAGGGACATGTCGGTTGGCAAACCAAATGTGTGCCGCACATTGTCACTGCCATGAACTTGCACTTTGATATCCCGGTGCCTCCGTGGTACCGACTGTTTGTTGATACTGTTTCGAGGCTTGTGGCTTGAGGAACCAACCCTACTTATTTGTGGTGGTGGGGGAGGGGCAGGTCTTATGGCTTAAGGTTGGCCAGGCACCAACATATTTCAGTATTTTGCTTGGCGCCCATTATTTCTTCTTAAGAAGATTGGTATGTCGCTGGCTCAGAGATATTCTGGTGCAACCATTCGTTTGCTACGAGGGCCAAGGGTTCCAAGACCACGTCGCCTGGTTCAAAGTTAAAGATTTGCCTGGCTTGTGTCAGGTGACGCACTATTTCTTCCAAGAGTCTTATGCCTGGCACGCATTCTATCATACTAATTAGGTTTGGAAATTGCAATACCCAGTGACCCCTCTCAGCATTTAAGGTTTGCCATTCATCATCTTCTTTTAAAGGCATCAAGCTGAAAATTGTCCCACCATCACCTTTGATCAGATAGTGTATGTTTAGTAATCCTTTTTCGGTTTCGGAGGTCATCAACTATTAACTATTATCTTCTTTCCGATTTTGGGTTTGCCAGCCATCGTACTCGACTAAGATTTGGGGCTCTTGGCCCCCAAATATTTTGTATTTAAACGACTCTTTTATCTCAGGGACTTGAATTGACCATGACCTGCTACTTTTGGGAACCAAGTGCTAGGCTCAGCGACTTGCTACCCATCCAATCTTGCAGGTCATGTCGTGACGAGGCTGTAGGTTTGAGAGAATCTCTGTGTCAAGGTTTGGATTTATCCCAGGGTCGGTATACCTAAATAGCATATGCTTTGGTTATCAAGTTAACATGTAAAGAACCAGGCACATATCATATATCTAGGTGGACCCTTCGGGTAAGGGTGCAACATCTGCTGTCAGGCCAAGTGCTATGTTTCAGATTTGGGATTCCTTCACCACTTATGTTTCTTGAAGTTTGCGAGTTGCTGTACAGGCTGTCGGGTTCAGATATAGAGTAGTGTGAGTACGGCAAAGTTTTCAGGTTCGCCATCAACTCCATCCTGTTGAGTTTTGAGGTGTTCAGGAATCAGTCCAATAAATCTTATCTTTACATTCTCTGGGTAGCCCAATGTCTTTGTATGGCTGGCTGAGTTTGGCAGCCAAAAATATTAGCAAGGTTGGATGTGCAAATTTCAAGATAGAATTTCAAACTACATGGTGAAATACAAAAAAACAGCTGTTTGACTCGAAAAACACGGGCCCGTATTCCGACGCACCTCAAAATAAATGCCCACGAAACTTAAAAGCGGACAAAACAGAATCGAAGACATGAAAATTTCAGAGACACACAATCGCCGCATGAAATCGTTCAGAAGCGCCCGTTCTTCAAAACGCTCAATGGGGGGACTGTGACGCCTTCTTCGAGACGAAAGGAGACGCCCACACGAAATCGCTTAGGGGGCGTAAAAAAAATAAAATAAAACAAAAGCAATATTTTTTGCAAGCGCAGGGTCCGTGAAGGTCCCGTCTGCACCGACCGTTTCAGGTGCGCTTGTGTGGTTTACGGCTTGGTTTGTGAACAACAGAAACCCAAAAAGCTCTATTTCTGGCAACATTCGAGACTTGGCGATACAAAGGAGTGTTATCCATCCATACCATCGATTGAGAAGAGTGCTTGCTCCTGGCGAATTTCGGCTGCTGTCGGAAAAGCGAAGAAGCTATGATCAATTGAGGAATGCGGCGGGGCTGCATCTGACTGTAGGTGTGTGATACCGCGCGAAGCTTCAACTAAACATGATTCCGCCCAATGTATCTTGGGTCTTCCAACCCTGTTAGGGCCTCTCGTGTGGCGATATGCTGCTGAGGGCATGAAGGTAGACTGGAACTCTAGCGAA